AGGCAGGGCAGTTGGGCTACCGGCAGTGGCCCCTACTCTAAATTTGGAAAGCCAACTCCTGTCCTATCTTGCCTTTGTACAACCTGCATAGCCCGTAAAATCACAGGCTTTTAATTTTTTCCCGATGCTCTTTCCAGGAATATATCCCAATTTAAGCATCAATTTACAAGCTGTTTCTGAAATTGTAGGAATATTAATTGAGCTCTCCATTGTTGTAACAAGTCTCTCCCCCATAAATTCATGGCTACATCAGCCATATACGGCTTTGAGATCCCTTCCTGTCCTTCCGACCCTATACCTTTAATCCATTCTACATTCTTTTTTGACGTGAGATAAGGTTCCAATGCTTACAAATTGAGTGGAGATTTCTTATAAAAGCCAGTTGGGATCCCAGGATTCTTGTGAAATTGTAGATACATCAGTATTAGAATTCAATAATCGTTCAATCTCAATCTCATTTAATTTTACTTTTAATTTAAGCCATTCATCATTGGTAACTGTTTGCCAAAACACCTTTTTTTCCTGTACTTCCAAAGCCTCTTTCTGTTCTACATATAGGCGCCACTTTGCCTTTAAGATATGGAAGCAATAATAACTGAGCAGTTCTATCACCAGTTTCTATTTCCATAGTCCTTTTTACATATGCCATCTATAAAAGCATTAAAGACAATCTCTGTAGGATTTTAAGAAGTAACTTTAGGCAATACTCTGGAGTATTTTTCATAAAAATCTTAAAAAGAGGATCCTTTTTTTTTATAGATCCCAAGTAACACGTTAATGCAACTTGTCAATTATTAACAGTGTGGATCAAATAATTTACCTGGGAAATTATTTAGTGGGAAAATAATTTTGTAAGTTCTTTACCAATAAGAGATTATTTTCTATGAGTTTTTATCCTAGCAACCACATTATTTAATAAGCTAACAACCCAGTCTGTTTCAGGTGTTACATTTTTAAGAATTTAACAAAGAATTTCTAGAAAGCAACTTAAAGAGCAGAGCCCAATTCTCAGTAACGATCAACAGACAAGAGCATACCCCAAATATAGTTTAAATTATGAATCCTGTTCCTTCAGTTTATCTACCGTGAGAATCAAACATTCATCCAAACATTTATTAGACAAGCAAAAGAGAACATCCTTTGTACAATGAATGGTTAATATCTCTGGGAATCCAAACAGCATCCACTTAGCATTCCATGTCCTGACCACAACCGTTCTTCACCAGAAGTTGGGCCTGTTTAGACTTCCTCTTTCTCACATAAGAGACTACTAATAATGAGTTATTCCCATCATTAGGGAAAAACAGAAAACATTTCCCATGAAGGGATCTTTAATACTGAGTTATTCCCACTCTGAGGGAAAAATAAAAAAACATTTAAACCAGAGTTAAGCAAACAGACAACACAGTTCTAAGCTCTGGGCCTGCTGTTCAGGCTGCAGAGGTGAGCCCACCTGTTGATTCTGTGTAATTCAGATGTCGACACTCTGTGCTGGTAGCCAGAAAGAGCTCAGTGTTTAGCTATCCTGAAATATTTTAGATAGGAAAGAGCCTTTTCTTCCTCTATTTCTACTGGAAGAGGCTTTTTTCTTTTCTTTATTTTTCTTTTATGGGGTTTTTTAATCTTTAGGCCTAGTTTTAATATTTTTTCCCCTTTTTACTGGGAAAATCCTTTTTTCTTGATAAAACATTTTTCCCTTTAACATTGAGAAATTTCCTTTCCTTCCCTCTTCTCTATTGGGAAGATTTCCTTTTTTATTTTCTTTCTTTCCCTTTTTTTTTCTACTGAAAAAGGTCTTTTTCCTTGATTTATTTCTTGTCTCAGGAGCCATTCTATTTCTATCTTTATAAATTGTACAGTTACCACTTTTCTTTTGACAAGCATTTTAGCAACTGTACATTTTGTTGCCCCTGAGATGGGGAGTTTAAATTCCCCATGACCCTGCCGATCCTGGAGTCCTCTTACCCTGAGAATGCTTCCCTCCAGTTCTTAAGATGGCCGCCTCCTCTGTCCTTCTTCAAGCCATGCATTGGGGGTCAATTTTCGAGGCACAGGTGCCTAGGTTCACATGTATCCATTGAGTGAAGACCCAGAGGCACCTTAGGAATGAATCCAGCCTTTTGAAGCTGCAGGGGATTCAGTCTCTAAGGACTGAAAACTTTCCTTTTGCCCAGGGCATTTTTATTTTTCTCCATATTTACACATTAGCCAGTTGATTTTCATATGTTCAAAACCAAAGATGGATTAGGGCTAGGTGCTACTCTCTAGAGCCAGGCCAGAAGTAGCCCAGCGGAAATGCCAATGCAGCCACAACAGAAGTCCAACTTGGTGACCCAATGAGTTTTGCTGGGGTCACTTACAGGAGCAGAAATGACTCACAGACAGCTGCATCGCCAAAGCCCACCCAGCATGGCTGACAGCTCACAACGCTGGGAACCTGGAGCACACTGCAGTCTGCAGGCAGCTTAGAATGTTGGCTTGGCTGGCAGACACGGAGAGACTTGGAGGGTCATATACTCCTGACTCTTGCTGACCCCAGATAGTTCTGACTCTACAGGTCGGAGACCCCAATGAGAAGGGGAAGGGGCAGATGCTAAAGTCAGTCTGGTGCAAGTCCCTGGAGAGCTGTGTGGGAGGGGAGCATGTGTGTTCTAGTGACGACACACTGCCAGTCACTTGTGTCCTCCTCAGCCTTGGGTGTCTCACCCATGACACTTGCATACTCATTGAAGTCTAGGACACCATCCGCCTAAGACCAAGCCTACCTAATCCATCTACCAATCTCCCTGGAAGCCTGAGATTCTTAGTGTTTATAGAGCTGTGTGATTAAGTGTCGGAGCCTGCCGACAGTCAGCTGGGTAGCTGGGTAGAGGCGTGAGGATTGAAGAGACAATGAAGAAGACAGAAAAGAGTCGAGAGGTCTGCCGGTCAATGCCGGACAGCCCCGAGTTTATTTCACAGCCAGCTCGTATACAGTCTTGAAGGACAGAGGTAGAACAATGTACAGCACTATCTATCCTGCCTTGTGTCAAGGAGCAGGGAGTTTCTTTTTCTGTCTCGATGTACCTCCGGCTGGCATCAGAGGCTTGTGTCTAGTTAGATAGTGTGTTCCTTCCTGTGGGCTAATCAGGACTGTCTCACAGCCCTTCAAGGGGACTCTGTGGGCTAATCAGGACTTTCTCACAGCCCTGGAGCAAGCAAGCTTGAACTCTACTGACTCAGAATAGACTTCAGATTCAAACTGGGAAACTGAGTCAGTTGTGGGCTCCCACAATTAAGTCCAAGATAAGCTTGGCAAGTGTTGTGAGCTGAGCCAGGCCCCAGATGGAGAAGCCCTGAGTTTTTAAATCAGTAGAAAGAAGCATGGTGGAATAGCCTCCTGTGTCCCACATGGGGAGTGAGAGCTGGCACAGAGTGTCTTGGTAGACCCTAGTCTGCCCTTAGCTCCTGCATAGGCAGGAGGCCCTTCAGAAGCTCGCTCTAGCCGGATGCTTGTGAGCTGGAGTAGTGATCCCAGACATCAGGCCTTAGCCCATGCAGGATGGCCTCCTGTTGCAATGTTTGGTTTGGATATAGTTTCCTTGTGTCCCCTAAGAGTTCATGAGCTGGAAACTTGGTCCTCAGTGTGGTGGCATGAGAGATGGTGGCATGTGTATGAGGGGAGACAATTGGGAGGCGATCAGGCCACTGGGGTGTTGCCCTGGGAGGGACTAATGCTGTAGACTGGTTGAGTAGGTCCCCCTAGGTGAGTGCTGGAGACCACCCATACACTGACATGGCCATGTGACTAGTGCTGTTTTCTGTCCCTCTGCCACATGCAGTCAGGGGGTCCTTACCAGAGGCTAAACAGATAAGACTGCAGGACTTTGGACCTGGAGCCTTCAAAATGATAACATTTTTCCTTATACTCCACCTTGGGTATTTCATCACAGCCTTATAAAAAATAATAATACACTCAACTCTTCCCGGGGCATACCTCCCAGGGAACTAGAGGACCTGCACCCCTGGGGTTTCCCATAAGCCTCAGCGTCGTGAGGATCCTAGACATATCTTTCTGAATAGAGCCTGGCGGTGTGAGCCCAAACTCACATGAGGACATGGCTCACTGATGGGTCAGTAAGGCCCGAGGACTGGCCATAAGGCAACTATTTGGGGACTGATGTAGGAAAAGGCTTACTGCCATGACCACAGAGCAGAGCCACGGTATGAGTTCTGAAGCTCAGGGACCCCAAGTCCCCACTGGGGGTAATGTCCAATGGGGAGGTAGCTGGGTTCAGAACTGGGTATTGGCACTAGGATAAGCTGCCAGGTCCTACACCTGTTTTCAAACTGGCCCTTTGTTCTGGCTTCTGCCAGGGGTGTGAAGCCTCACTACAGCCCTGGAGAGAGGGAGCTTTGTGCTTTGTCTCCCCCTTCCCCACCTCCCAGGCTCCCCGCCAGACAGGGTTTCTCTGTGTAGCCCTGGCTGTCTTAGAACTCACTCTGTAGACCAGGCTGGCCTTGAACTCAGAGATCCTCCTGCCTCTGTCTCCTGAGTGAAATGCTGGGATTAAAGGCGTGCACCACCACTGCCTGGTTGAGCTAGGGAGTTCTAGTCTTGTTTTATAGATGGGACACAGACGCCCAGAGAAGCACTGTGATACACATGCACCGCACCATTGGCCCATGTCCCCAGCAGTGGGCAGAAGGGACAGGTTTTGCTGTCAGGAGCCTGTGTGATCCTCTGTAGACATTTAGCCTCTCTGGTCCTTCACTGTTTCATGTTCCTGGGGAGTTCAATCGGGGAAGTCATGTATGTGCCCTATGGACCCTGGCCTAAGAAAGTGACAGAACTCTGGCTGTGGTGACTGTCTCCTAGTATTGCCTAATGGGTTCTGCAGGGGCATTTGGGCAGTGCTGAAATTGAGCAGTGACAGTTCAAAGTCCCATCGGTTGTCCCCGCCATATCCTCCAACCCAATCACTGCCCAATCTCAAATCCAAACAGTCCAGGCTCCCCTGTGAATTGCAAGGCTTTTATTGTTGGAATCCTGTTCTTAGACACCTGGAAGGGAGGGACAGGCTTGCTACATCTAGGCAGGTGAACAGACAAGTGGCCTTCTTGAGTCTTCTGGCAAAGATGGATTCATCAACATGCTTTGCTAGCTTCTATTTTTGCCTGCAAAGAGAAAGCAGGGGAGGCCTCAGTGGTGGAGGAGATCTCACCAGCCATTCACGGGGCACCTCTTGGGGGGACCTACAGCCCGTGTGCCATAGCTCCTGGGACTGACCAGGCTCAGGGAGCCACCTCTCTACCCTGTCTCCATCAAACCGATGCAGGCAAGCCTTGTGAAGAGCCTCCAATCCAGCCTGATGGAAAGAGCCAGCTGCCCTCGGGACACCCTGGGCACAGGTGGGACAGAATGGAGGAGCAGCTGGGGCGGACCTGCAGGGCTCTAGGGGGACCCGAGGGCAGCTGCAGCTCCACAAGTGAACTGATTCCTGTCACATGATGACCCTCAGACACATGCAGCTGAGGTGGTGACATCCTCCTAGTACTAGTGACAAAAGAGGACTCAACTAGATTCCCCACCTGAGTGTCCCAGGCCTGGGTTCTACAGCGACCTTGGAGGTCCAGAGGACAAGAAAAAGATGAGTGCCTTGGGGGTGTGGTGGTAGACTTGAAAAGTTAGGATAGAAGATCCAGGCTGGGGAAGGGATGCCAGGCCCCGTGCTGGTGTGGCTGGACTGGGGAGGCTGGGACAGAAAGGCTGACGGAGGCCAAATGGGATTGTGGGGCAGGGATCCTGGAGGGCCTCGTCTGGCTTAGCTGAACTGAACAGCCAGGCCCAGCTGAGGCTGCCTGAGTGTCCCTTCCTGCCCCAACCTCATGAAATTCTCAGTCGGGAGAGTCATATTTCTGGATTCACAGAGAAGCTGCAGTGGTAGGAGAGACAGTCTCCATCCCTCACCTAGGGTGAGCAGGTCGGCAGACAGGCTCCCGGGCCAGACACATAGAGAACTCACCAGCATACTCTTTACATTCTCCTTGTCTTCCTCTGTCAACTTGCTATCAGCACATGTCTTCAGATTTTCAGCATTTTTCAGTGTGGCAGGGTCATCCTTGTATTTTTTAATGAAGTTGACATAGTCAGTCACAGACGGGCCGAGAAAAAATTCCAGATCCTCTTTTATAGCTGGGCAAATGCCACAGTCTGGAACACAAAGAAAAGGTGATCTTCCCTTGAAAGCCTTGAATCAGAACACACACACACAGACACACACAAACACGAACACACACAGACAGACAGACACAGACACACACACCCACACAGACACACACACACTGACACACACACACACCCAAACAGATACAGACACACACACACACACACACACACACACACACACACACACACACACATACACATACGTCCTTCCTGTGGAATTGAAGATTGGAGAGCCCTGGAGACCCTGCACCCCTGACACCCACACCCTAGTACCCACTTCCCCCTGATGTCAGGAGCAGGACAACCCCAAGCACCACGAGAGCACCAGAGAGCTTCATGGTAACGGTGGCAGGTGCTCCTGCCCAGCTTTGGCCCCTTTATAAGTGCCCTGGGCTGCTGTGTGGGGAGGAGGGCCTGGGTCTGAGCCCCTCCAGGCTCCTCCCACACACTGCCTGGAACTCCCTGGGACTGTGTCGGGGCAGGTGTGTGTTTTGGCTACAGGATAAGATCCTGGTCAACAAAGGGCCCTGGCTCAGTTGGTCCCTTCTTAGTGCTCTGCTTAAGGTCACATGTCATGTGACCAAAGGAATTGATGACTAGGGAGGGCAAATGGCCCTCCATCAGGCCTCCAGAGTGAGGCCTGTCCTCACCCTGTCACACCAGGGAACTCAATGTTTACTTAAAGGCCTCCCTAGCAGGCCATGTCTAGGACAGGCCAGATCACAGACCACTTGGAGATCCTGCACTGACTGTGGTGTCCCTGCCCCATCTGTCACTGGCCCCCTGGCTTCACTGAGCCATCTCTAACCCTCAAGTCTCCTGCTGTGGCAGTCTTCCCTCAGCTTGATCTTTTCTTTGTTGTGGTTGTTTGTTTAAAGACAGGGTCTCTACACATAGTCCTGGCTGTCCTGGAACTCCCCCATTAGACCAGGCTGGCCTTGAACACACAGTGCTGGGATTAAAGGCACTACCCAGCTAAGCTTACCTCTTAAGCCCTTGTTGATGTTTCTGGGTTTTTTGAGACAGAATCTTGCCCAGGGGTTAGTCTTGAGTTCATAATCCTCCTGAGAATGGTGTGTGTGTGTGTGTGTGGTATGTGTGTGTGTTGTGTGTGTATGTGGTGTGTGTATGTGTGTGTGTTTGTGTGTGGCATGTATGTGTGTGGGTATGTGTTTGTGTGTTTGTGTACGTAGTGTGGTGTGTGTGTATGTGTGTGTGTGTGTGTGTATGTGTATATGTGCATGGTGTGTGTGTGTGTGTGTGTGTGTGTGTGTGTGTGTATGTGTATGTGTGTGTGTGTAGTCCGTGGTTGGTGTGTGGTAAGTGTTGGTTTTATTTATTTTTATTTTTTTTATATTCTTTTTTTTAAGATTTATTTATTTATTTATTATGTACACAGAAGAGGGAGCCAGATCTCATTACAGACGGTTGTGAGCCACCATGTGGGTGCTGGGAATTGAACTCAGGACCTCTGGAAGAGCAGTTGGTGCTCTTAACCTCCGAGCCATCTCTCCAGCCCATGTGTTGGTTTTAAATAAGCGGTTATGGTTACTGAGCGAGGAAAGGTCAGAGGCACGACAAAACCCAGTATCAGAGCTTTATTAGAAGGAAGCGGGGACCGTGGCCAGGCCTGGGGCAGAGACACATACAGGAGAGAGAGAGTGTGGGGGGACAAAGAGCAGAAGAGGAGGGGGGAGTCTGTGTCCGGCTTTTTAAGGATTCCCTGCACAAGGGCAGGTGGGCTTACGGAGCTGTGCCATGCATGCGCTGATTGTGCAACCACATTGCACACATTTTCACAATCATGCGGCCCACTGGTGAAGTAAGAAGTAAGACCCCGGGGCTGGAGAGATGCCTCAGAGGATAAGAGCACTGATTGCTCCCTCCAGAGGTCCTGAGTTCAATTCCCAGCACCCACATGGTGACTCACAACCATCTGTAATGAGATCTGGTGCCCTCTTCTGGAGTGCAGGCATACATGCTGTATACATAATAAATAAATAAATCTTCAAAAAAAAAAAAAAGAAGTAAGACCCCTTGCTTGGCCACTAAACTGTACATGTGCGGTCATATGGCTGGAGTGGCAGAATCCTAACAGTGTGTGTGTGTGTGTGTGTGTGTGTGTGTGTGTGTGTGTGTGTGTAACTGAGCTTTCTCTCAGGCTGGTGGTAAGCACTGTTAAAATCCATTTATAACTGCCTGGTGTGGTGTCAAACACTTTCAACCCCAGCACTCAGGAGGCAGAGGCAGGTGGACCTCAGTGAATTTGAGGTCACCTTGGTCCACTCAGGGAGTCTCAGACCAGCCAGAATTACCTGGTGAGACTCTGTTAATAACCACCATCAGTGCGTTCTCTAGTTCATAATCACGCACATCCTGTCCATTTCCTCATAACTAAGCAAAGGTATTTCAGTGTGGAGCTTCTGAGCCCTAACTGAACACTGCCCGACTCTGTCTGCTGCTCTGGGGGCTTTGACTCTCTGTCAAAAAGCCAGCATGACTGCCTCGGTGCCAGCACCGGCCAGTTTGAAGACCCAACAGACACCTTGGGAAAACTAGAGGGCCATCTCAGCTGGCTACCCTGGCTTCTGAAGGCAAGCCTCTGTCTGGTTGGTTCAGAGTGTCTAGCAGGAGAGAGGGGAAGCATCCTGGCTGTGAGATGTGACGCTTCATTCCTCAGACTCCACCCAAACCCACCCTATCAGAGGGACAGCCTGCTATGGTCTCAACACGGACAGGCCACACCAAAACCCACATGGAGCCCTGCTCCCCAGAGTGCCAGTGCTGAGGGGCGGTGTATGGCGGTGGTCGTAAATCTTGGGGGCCTCTGCTCTCCTACTGTCTTCCACCACCACCCCATCTTCCCACCCCTCCCACTCCCCTTCTGCTCTGCACCGTGAATTCAGACAGTGCCAGGCAGTGGCTAGATGTGGCTGCTGTATCTTGGACTTTCGGGACTCCAGACCATGAACTAAATTAACTTCTTTCCCATATACATGACCTAGTCCTGGCTGTTTTGTCATAGCACTGGAACACAGATTACCCCACTGTAGTACACGTGCATCTCTGGTGTCTGAGAACACACCCGGCCTCCACCACAGCACTGGACCCTAAACCCTGCCCCCTTCCCTAGCACCTCCTGCACTGGCTGCTTTTTGGTGTCCCTTGGATGTCTAAGGGCTCAGGGGAACAAGGCATGTGACAGTCTCTTTGTCCCAGGAACACCACATAGGAGGTCTCCACAAATGCTGGTGAGATGGCCGAAGGGCTATCTCCTTTCTCTCAAGTCTGTAACACGACCATCCTTGAAACATGAAACAAAGAGGACCTTTCACGTAGCCCAGGCTGGCCTCAAACTGTCAACCCAAACCTGCCCCAGCTCCCAGTTCATGTTATATAAGTGCTTATGTAATTTGGCCGGTATTACTTTTTAAAAGTAAAGATTCTAAGTGTTTTGATAAGTCAGAACTAAGTAGTTTGTTGTTAAAGGCACTTGACTGTCGCTTTCTTTCCATCAGTGGTGACAGATGAAGTTTGCTGAAGACTTAGAGAGGCATAAGCCTTTTGACTTGCTGGTCAGCCAAACAGGATCTGCATCCGGTATCTGTTTTGACAAAGAGGTGCCAAGCACTAAGACCCACTTGTGAGCTGTCACTATGTCCTCTGGTCCTTGTTTTTATGACCTTGCAGGTCCCGTGGGCTGCCGACGCATGTGCCGTATGCTGTGGCCTTTCTCCTTCTTGGCAGTATAGGAATGGAGACAGGACATCCAGGGGCTCTGAAGTGTCTCTGCTGGGTGACAACCACAGCGCTGTGCTAGTCTGCGGAGCTGCATTAGGCTTCTTGTAGATCAAGAGGTTAAGTGCCTTGCCCCCGCATGTCAGAGGACACATGACTTCTACACATTCCCCCGTGATTGGAACTGCTCATTGAACCATTAATATTCTGTTACCAGATGTCTCTACTGTCTTCCCATCTGCTCACATTTTCCTATTTGTGTGTGTGTGTGCGCGCGCGCGCGCGCATGCATGCATGCATGTGTATGTGTGTGGCCCTGTGCATGTTCATTTGTGTTGTGGTTACATGGTGTGTTGGCTAGTTTTTTCTTTTTTATATTTATGTGCATTGGTGTTTTGCCTGCATGTGTGTCTGTGTGACGGTGTCAGATCTTGGAGTTATAGACAGCTGTGTACTGTCATGTGGGTGCTGGGCATTGAACCAAGGTCCTCTGGAAGAGCAGTCAGTGCTCTTAACCTCTGAGCCATCTCTCTGTGCTGGCTAGTTTTATGTCAACTTGACACAAGCTAAAGTCATCACAGAGGCGGTAACCTCAACTAAGAACATACCTCCTCCGGGTAGTGATGGGGCGTGCCTTTAATCCCAGCATTTGGGAAGCAGAGGCAGGCAGATCTCTTTGAGTTCGAGGCCAACATGGCCTACAGAGAGATTCACAACAGCCAGGCCTCACAGAGAAACCCTCTCTCCAAAAACCAAAAACCAAACCAAACCATAAAAAAAAAAGAAAAAAGAAAATCCCTCCATAAGTTTGGACTGCAGGCAAGCCTGTAAGGCATTCTCTCTCTCTCTCTCTCTCTCTCTCTCTCTCTCTCTCTCCCCCTCCCTCCCTCCCTCCCTCCCTCCCTCCCTCCCTCCCTCCCTCCCTCCCTCCCTCCCTCCCTCCCTCCCTCCCTCCCTCCCTCTCTCTCTCTCTCTCTCTCTCTCTCTCTCTCTCTCTCTCTCTTTCTCTAACCAAGAGAGGGTCTGTGTAGCCCTGGCTGTCCTGCAACTCACTCTGTAGACCAGGCTTGCCTGGTCTCAGATCCACCTGTCTCTGTCTCCCAAGCACTGGGATTAAAGGAATGTGCTACCTACCACCCCCTGGCCAGGCATTTCCTTAGTGAGTGATTGATGGGGAGGGCCCAGGCCATTGTGGGTGGTGCCATTTCTGGGCAGGTGGTCCTAGGTTCTATTAGAAAGCAGGCAAGCAAGTCATAGCAAACAAACCAGCCAGCAGCATTCTCCATGGCCTCTGCTTCAGCTCCTGCCTCCAGGCTCCTGCCCTGCCTGAGTTCCTGTGCTGACTTCCATGATGAATGGAGATGTGGAAGCACAAGTTGAATAAACCTTTCTCTCCTTAATCTGCTTTTGTTCATGGTGTTTTATCACAGCAATGGAAATCTTTTTAATTATTTATTTTTGTCTTTTGAGACAAGGTTACCCTGACTGTCCTTGAACTCACTCTGTAGACCAGGCTGGCTTCCAACTCACAGAGATCTGCCTGCCTCTGCCCCCTGAGTAATGGGATTAAATGAATGGACCACCACGCCTGGCTGGGCAATAGTAATCTTAACTAAGACACATGGCATACATATGTGTGTGCACATGGCAGCCAGAGTCACACAAGTGCCTTGAGCCGCTCCCCACCATATAAATACATGTTTGTGTGTATATATGTGTGTGTGTACATATATACACACATACATATTTTATATACTTATTTATGCTTTTTAAAAGGATTTGTAGCCGGGTGGTGGTGGCGCACGCCTTTAATCCCAGCACTCGGGAGGCAGAGCCAGGCGGATCTCTGTGAGTTCGAGGCCAGCCTGGTCTACAAAGCGAGTTCCAGGAAAGGCGCAAAGCTACACAGAGAAACCCTGTCTCGAAAAACCAAAAAAAAAAAAAAAAAAGGATTTGTTTATTTTTGTTTTATGTGCATGCAGATTTTGCCTGAATGAATGTCTTATGCACTATGTGTCCAGTGCCTGTGGAGGCCGCAGGAAGGTGTTGGGTCCTCTGGAACTGGAGTTACAGATGGTTGTTAGCTGCCATGTGGGTGCTCGGGCCTCTTAATGGCTGACCTCCTTATAGTTTTTGAGACAGGGTCTCTTACTGAACCCGGAGCTTGCTAATTTGGCTAGACAGGCTGGCCAGTGAGGCCTAGGGGTGGACTTACTCACTAGGGCTGGGATTACAAGGTGGGCCATTGTCCCTGGCTTTCCTCCTGGGTCTGGGGATTGAAGTTTATGCAGCAAGCATTTTACTGACTGGACCATCCTCCAGCTCACCTTGCTTCTTCCTTTGGAAACATGTAACTCACACTGAGGACTGAAGGGGTAAACTCCCCTCCCGAGAGGAGCATCTACAAATACTCAGTTTCTTCTGTAAGAACACTGTCTTTCATTGCTACTTGTTTATCTGCTCATCCAACCATTCATGCCAGCATGGATTCATATATTATTTCACAATCATATTATAATCCAATATGATGTTATTTAGTTTGTTGTTCAAATTGTTTGATAACTGACCATTAGGAGATTGTTTTAGGCTTCCTTGTGCCAGTTTCCACGTGTGTGTTTGTGTGTGTGTGTGTGTTTGTGTGTGTTTGTCTGCTTGTGCATGTGTGTGTGGTCACAGGTGCCATGGTGTGTGTGTGTGTGTGTGTGTGTGTGTGTGTGTGTGTGTGTGTGTTTGTCTGCTTGTGCATGTGTGTGTGGTCACAGGTACCATGGTGTGTGTGTGTGTGTGTGTGTGTGTGTGTGTGTGTGTGTTTGTCTGCTTGTGCATGTGTGTGTGGTCACAGGTGCCATGGTGTGTGTGTGTGTGTGTGTGTGTGTGTGTGTGTGTGTGTGTTTGTCTGCTTGTGCATGTGTGTGTGGTCACAGGTGCCATGGTGTGTGTGTGTGTGTGTGTGTGTGTGTGTGTGTGTGTGTGTGTGTGTGTTTGTCTGCTTGTGCATGTGTGTGTGGTCACAGGTGCCATGGTGTGTGTGTGTGTGTGTGTGTGTGTTTGTCTGCTTGTGCATGTGTGTGTGGTCACAGGTGCCATGGTATGTGTGTGTGTGTGTGTGTGTGTGTGTGTGTGTGTGTGTGTGTTTGTCTGCTTGTGCATGTGTGTGTGGTCACAGGTGCCATGGTGTGTGTGTGTGTGTGTGTGTGTGTGTGTGTGTGCGTGTGTGTGTGTGTATGTGTGTGTGTGTGTGTGAATGTCAGAGAACAATTTGCAGGAAGTCAGTTCTCTTCATCTATCATGTGGATCCTGGGATTTGAACTCAGGGCATCAGGCTCAGTGGCAAGCACCTTTAATCACTGAGCTGTCTCAACAGCCTTCCAGACTATTTTCTGAGACAGATCTCTTACAGAACCTGGAGCCCACGGGATTAGTGGTGTGTGCCACCACACTCACCTCTTTCCTGGGGTCCTGGGGATCTGAACTCAGGTCCTGAGGCTTGCAGAATGAGCACTTTACAGTCTAAGCCGTCTCCTTAGTCATCTGTGTTTTTGTGTGTGGTGCTGTGGATTAACCTGAGGGCTTTGCACATGCCAAAAAATACTCCACTAATGTATTGTTGAACTAGTGACAAAATTCCAGAGAAGGCGCAACTTTCAGCTTACAGTTTGAAGGGACACAGTCCATCATGGTGGGGTAGGCACAGTGCAGGAACTCGACAGTGTTGATCACATTTACAAGCAGGAAGTAGAGACATGACTGTCCAGCTTGCTTTCTCCTTTCCACTCCTCTATGACCCTGGTCCATGCTGCCCACATAAAGTCAGACACCCACATCAATTAACCTAGCCTGAAAACTCCCACAGAGCCAGAGCTTTTTCTGTGGTGACTCTAAATCCAGTCAGGATGACCATCAAGAAAGCCATCACACACTGCAAGCTTCCTGCCTCCAGGAATGATTCCCACAATGCCCAGCTGAAAATCTCCTTTGTGCTCAAAAGTCTTTCTGAGGGTGTTAGGTCGATTTGAACTTGAGACAATCCACACACACAGCACTGCCTGTGGACATGGAGCACTCTAGTTTATAGACGGCCTGTGGGACTCTGATGACGGAGAGTTCATGGCACAGGGAGGGATCCCTCCCTCTGCTCACTGCTGTCACCGCAAGGACTGTACTGCTGGAACCTCTTGGAGACCTGCTCACTGGTCGAGGACAAGGACAAGAGAAGGACAACAGGAATGAGCTACCGTGGCAGGGAGGGGAGTGTGCAGCATGATGCCGTTGGTAGCGCACAAACATCACCTGCCCTGAGGATACCCACACGACCACAACACAGGCTCTACCCAGGCTGGGAGTCACTAAAAGCCCAGATGGTGCCCCCATGTCCTCAGAGGTCCAGTCCAAAGGGTGCAGCAGCCAAGATGTCCAAGGGGACCAGGTATGGCCCCAGATACACACCCTCTGCTCAGATCCTGAACTCAGGCAGATGCAGTGTTGTGGGCTGTTGGCTGCCCACAGTGACAGAAACCCTCCTCGACTCGTGGGTTTCCACCTCCAAGCTTGAAGAGGACATGCTTGGAGTCAGGACAGGTGAGGAGGACTGTGACCAGGAAGCAGAGGTGACAGTTGGGGCCAGGACAACAGGACACTTGGCTCAGCATGTGCCTGCTTAGAAAGGTCAGCTCTAACTGTCTTTGGCAAAGATACAACCATTTTTATCCAGAAACTGATGACATCAGGATGTCTCCAGCCATTTGTTCTTCCGAGTGGGAGGGGCTCCTATGCTCACTCCCCCATGCACATGGGAAGGGGATCCATAGGTGCCGGGTTCTTGCCCAAAGGCATTTGGAACTCCTGGGAGGCAGGGTTGGGGTGGGATGGGAGGGAGGTGGGCGGGACTGGCTCAGGGAGACGGTAGTTCATAAGGTAGCAGGATCTGCTCTGAGAAGAGCATTTAGCACTCTGAACCATGAAGGGGACGCTGCTTCTGCTGGCCTTGCTGGTGACCGGGGAGCTGGGCTTCCAGACAAGTGAGGATGGGCACAGACAGCCTTTCTGACCTTGCTTACCCCGTCTCTCTTCCATAGAGATCTCTAAGCAGTGCCCTGAGGCAGATCTAGGGGGTCCCTGGGAGGTCACTATCCAGGAGTCCTGCAGAAGACCCTTGCAGCCCTCTGCTCTGGACTGTGACAGTTGGGGTGGGTGGGATGGGGAGACGGAGGTGTGGTGGTGATGACGGGTCTTGGCTGCAGGCACAGCTGACGCTGAGTCATGTGCGGGACTCATGTGAAGGTCAGATATGCAGGCTGGTACACTCATGCATCCCCTTCTGCTGGGAGGGTTGTCTCGTCGAAACTGTGTGCTGTGTCTGGGAGGCAGCGGCCTTTGGGAGGGCAGGACTGTGTGGAAGGTCAGCTAGGACATTTGTAGATGTGAGAAACCCTGAGCCTCCTCTTCTGCCAGCATGGGGCTCCTTTAATGATGTTCTTCTATGTTTGCAGCGGAAGCATGCGCTCCTTTCTTCAATGTCTTTACTGCAATGGCCATTGGAAACAAGGAATTAATGAATGCCGTCCTTTCCTATTATGACCCTACTGCCCAGGAGAGGGAGGCTTTTGAAAAAATCCAGGAATGCTACAATGAGGCAGGACTGAGGGGCAAATTCCTGGATGCCAAAGTTCTGGTAACTTCCTCCCTACCCCCACACCCCCATGCAGCATATGGTAGAATGCTGTGTACAAATGATCCATGCAGTCAGTAATGTGTGTCAGGGGATAGACAAAGGAGCACTCAAACCCTTGCCCATGCTATCTATCACATGTCAATGCAGCATGCCTGGTACACATCCTGCCTGTTCTTTGCAAGTTCCTGCAACTCACTCTCACACGATGGGTAAACAGGGGTTCTCACCCACAGCAGGACAGGCAGTGACACAGGACAGTCCTTGGTGTGGCTTCTGCACAGGGAGGGCACCCTCAGCTCTGTGCTAGGTGTCTGAAACTTCTACTGGCCAGGGTCACCTCCCCTGGAGCCTCCCTTGACTCTACTCCCCTGTCTCAGATGGAGTGCTCCTGCCACTGGCATCCTCAGAGCCTCAGCCAGAACCTCCCTCCATGGCTTAGATGCCACCCCCACCTCCAGGGGGTGACTGCAGCTGCTCACCACAGCTGCTCCTTGTCTCCCTACTGTCTCTCATTTAAGCACAGCTGGATTACACAGATGTGTGTTTTGAATAGTGCATCTCTCGCTCTTTGTTTCCTAAAGTACTTTTGGCTGTCAGGTCCTGCAAAGCCACAGCACTCTCCAGAAAAGAGTTTCTTCTAACACACCACACAGGGATGTATGTATAACATGGTCATACAGCCAATGTGCTCCACAGATGTCCTCAGACAGGAGAGGTCATCAAAACTCAGTCGTCTTATCCCCTCCCCAGACCTAGCCCCCATCATGCCTTCAGGCACCTTCTCCCTGTCACCCCTGCCCGGCCAGCGTGGCTTCTCAGCCTTGACCCTGACAGCTGTGGATGAGCTGCAGCTCCCCTGGGGCAGAGTCTGCAGCTGGAGACCTGAATCACTGCAGGAATTTTCTTCCCTGAGGATAAGGAGAGGCCTCAGCATGGGTGACTGGGGCACCCTGCTGAGGTCTGCACCTTGCCTGTAACCACCTCTGCCCCTTTCTGTCTTCTTGTTTTCCAGGAAGCCATCCTCTTCAGCCCACAGTGCATGGGTTACTATACCGAGGACATCATGGACAAAATCAAGAGTTTCCTTTCCAAACTAACCTTTATGTAATATGATGACTGATGTGGTGTCATCTTGCTGCCCTGTCCTGTGTCCCTCCTGAAGTTGGAATCCAGACACTTGTCCCCTCCTTGTCCAGTCTGTTAAGCTGATTATAATAAACACCTGCAGCTCTGCTGTCTGCCCCCTGTCTCTGTGCAGTGCAGGAATCATGGGATGTCTTCAGATCTGGGACACAGTGAGAGAAATGACCTGTGTGGTCACTCAGAGCAGGGCGACTGCCACTGTCTGGCCAGGTGATCATGGGAAAGTCATTGCAGCCTTTTTGTTGCTGTGTAGACCAGGCTGACCTTGAACTCACAGAGATCCTCCTGTCTCTGCCTCCCAAGTGCTGGAATGAAAGGCATCTGCCACCAGCATGCCAGGCTGACTGCAGCCTTGTGAGACTGTAAGACAGGAGTTGTCTAGGGTACACAGCACGTAAGCAGTCACAGGCTTCACCGGCCCCAGGGCAGAAATGAGGAGCACAGCTGCTCACCTCCCATGCTGCCTCTGGGCTTTATCTCAGGGCAGCTGGCTCCTCACAGGTCAGTCCAGAGCAGTGCAGTGACTCAGAAGACACCTTGGGGGTGCTTATCAGATTCTCTTGCTCTGCTAGCGACAGACCCTTTGTCTTAGCCTGGTCTACATAGGAAGCTCCAGGACAGCCAGGGCGACATAGAAAGACCTACCTCAGAAACAAAAACAAAAGTTAATAATAAACAAAAGACTTTAATGGGGAAAAAGATTTGAGTAGATGCTCAAGTAAAGGAAACAGAGAAGGTCTGCGAAGAAGGTTCATTGGTTAGAGTTCTTCTGTGCATTACTGGGGACCTCAGTTTGAATCCCAGAATCCATGAAAGCCAGACTTGGCAGCATATGCCCATAATCCTGGTGTTCTTGTTGAGAGATGAGAGGGGACAGGTGAATACCCAGAAGTCTGTCTGGAGTCCATTGTCAGACAACCAGAGAGACCTGTCTAGACAAGGTGGGTGAGGAGTGACACCCTCCATAAGCACACTGTGGCATGTGCATGTATGTTCTCTCTCATAGTCCCCCACACAAAACAACCAGACAACTAGAAGGAGAGGAATGGCCGTCAATACAAATCACAATTATGAACATCAGTTATCAGGGAGACACAAAATAGTAGCACAACTTCTGAGCACAGCAAGTGTTGGTGAGCGTGCTGAGGACCTGCAAGTCCAGCTGCTGGCAGGAAAGTCACACAGACTGTTGGCATCCTGGCCTGCCCCTGCATCCTGACGAAAATCCTCCTTTAAGGAAAAGCTCTATTCTTCTTCCGCTGCCCCTCCACCCTTTCTCACCATGATGTGTGCACACCTCCTCTCTCCCTCTCCCCCTCTCTCCCTCTCTCCCTCTCTCCCTCTCTCCCTCTCTCCCTCTCTCTCTCTCTGTGGAGACTCATAAAGGTTTCCTAGTAAGAACTCAGGGTGGGAGAATCTGAACTTGCTTTACCCAGAGGTTTCCTAGTGAAAACTCAGGGTGGGAGAATGAACTTGCTTTACCCAGAGGTTTCCTAGTGAGAACTCAGGGTGGGAGAATCTGAGCTTGCTTTACCCAGCCGGGCTGCACAAGGGGATGATTTGGCCATGGGCGTGGTTACCAGGTGTTTGGAAGGGTCTACACTTGGCTGTATTGTGTGCTTTGATCTTGCAAGGGGGGGAGGTCTTTTGCCCTGCCCTTGGCATTGTTATAAAAAGTCCTTTTGACCAAAGGGTAGAGGCCATTGGGTATTGATCCAGGCCCTCCTGAAACTGTCCTGTGTTTGTCTTTCTTCTCGTCAACTAGGTCTCCTTTTCTAACATTTTCTTATTCCTCTCCTCCTAAGATCCCTTCAAAAAGGAAGGCACAGGCCTCCCCCAGGTGGCGCCTGAACATGGGATAGGTACAAAGGACGAGAGAGAGAGAGAGAGAGAGAGAGAGAGAGAGAGAGCGCACCACGGAGCGGGGGACATGTCCGGTTATGAATTAAGTTTATGCGGTGGTATTCTATTCTTCAGGAGTAAAGTTGTATGTATAAAGCAGAGCGGCTAAAGTTAAGCTGAAGCCAGTAGTAAAAGGCTGCAGCCAGTATCTCTCTCTGTCTCTGTTCCTCTCTTTCTCTCTCTCTCAATTTCTATCTACCAAATTAGGTAAAAATTTAGGGTTTAGGTCTAGGGATATTATGTAGGCTTACTAGGAAGAAATTAGGGTAGGAGTAGAATTTCCATAGTGCCAGACTAGGCACTCAGAAAGCAGCATTCGGGAACAAGCAACAACGGCGAAATTAGCAGTCTGATGAAGAGAAGCTGATATGGGGCAGGGAATAGTAGACAGTTGTTTGTATATTCATGTTTAGAGAGTTTGAAAACTAGGAGAGTTAAGGTAGAATAGCAACAAGCACAGAGGTTCTTAGAGTTTGTAGAGGAGCTGTGTCCTTGGTTTCCTGACTATGGAACTCTGGACACAGACTCATGGTGGAGAACTGGAGTCAAAATTCACAACATTATGAGGAGCATGGGCTGGAAAAGATCCCAGGGGAAGCTTTTAGCCTCTGGGCACTTATTCGGGACAGTTTGAATCTGAGTCCTGAGCAGCAGGGGGGAATTTTCCCTGAGGTGGACATAGTGGAAACAAAACCTTCTGCTCCACCGGAGCTGCCGCTAGATGGGGATGCTTTTACAAAATCATTCAATCAGGGTCAGTCCCTTCCTGGCCATGAAGCCGAGTTTAAGGAACATAAATCTTGGAATGAGACAAGGGAGGAGCTGAAGGGCTTGAGAGACTTAGTAATTACTCTTTCTCAAAAATTGGCGGCTCTTCAGGTCTCCCCTTCTCAGAAGGGTACTCCTCTTCCTTCTGGAGTGGCAGAATTAGACTCACTTGGGGGAGGGGGTCGTCTATCAGAACGGAAAAGTCATTCCTAATTGTCAGGGTGCAAAAGCCTCCTGGAGCATGGCAAACCCTTGCTGCTAGAGCTCCCTCTCCCATTCAAGCCAGTATTAGAGAAGCATCTAGCAGGGGGAGGGGGCACAAGGATTTCAAATGTTCCCTGTAATTGAGCAGCAAATGCCAAGGGTAATATAGTGCGAGTGCATGTTCCAATTCCTTTTAAACAACTTAAGGAAATGAAAACGGCATGCAACCAATATGATCAGACATCCCCGCTTACACAAGCTTTGTTAGAAGCCTTGCTCTAGAAGCCTTGCCTCCTGGGGAATGGAAACAGATGGCCAAAGCTTGCCTGTCAGGAGGAGACCATTTGTTGTGGGAAAGTGAGTTTGTGGAGCAATGTCAGGCCACAGCTGAAATAAATTGGGTCTAACAGATTCCCATTACTTTTGATATGCTTGCCGGAGAAGGCTTTTATTGGGAGATAGGTCAGCAGTTAAAATTTTGATGTGACAGTGTGTGCTCAGATTGGTGCATCTGCCAAGAAGGCCTGGACTAAGCTTCCACAGTCTGGAAGGCAGACTGAGGATTTATCAAAGATAAGGCAAGGGTTTTGTCTCTAGGCTAATACAGACAACAAGCAGGTTAATTGGGGATTCAGAAGCTGGACATTTGCTTGTTAAACAGCTCTCCTACGAAAATGCTAATGCCGTATGTCAGGCCACTTTGAGACCTTTTAGAAAGAAGGGAGACATCTCTGACTGTATTCAGCTTTGCTTGGATGTTGGGCCCTCATATAAACAGGGGATAGTTACGGCTGAGGCATTACAGGGAAAAACAGTCAAGAATGTTCTTTACCAACAAAGAAATTATGGCTCCAGGCAAGGGAGAGCTGTTGGACCACCAGGAAGTGTTTTTGGGTGTGGCCAGATGGGACACTAGATCAAAAGGTTGTCCTGAAAGGGGAAAAAGCCTAAGGGCAAATAATGAACCTGGGTTGTGCCTGAGATACAAGAGAGGGAAGCACTGGGCTTATAAATGTCTGTCAAAGACAGATACCCAGGGGAATCCTCTTCAGGGAAACCGAGGAGGGGCCAGCTGCAGGCTCCGACAGAGTAGATTTTTGAGGTAATTCTGCAGTCTGTCTCCCTGCAAAGAAATTTGTCCAGGACCTCTACAGAGCAACCCCAAGCAATGCTGGACTAGATCTCAGCTCTTCCATCTATACGGTTTTAACTCCTGAAATGGGGATGCAGGTCCTTCCTACTGGTATTTATGGGCCTTTGCCAGAAGGCACTGTAGGGTTATTGCTGGGAAGAAGGAGCACCACCATGCAGGGGTCTTTGTTGCTCCTGGAGTAACTGACGCTGATTATGTGGAAGAGATTAAGATAATGACTCACTCACCTAAGGGAATTTCTGTAATATAGACAGGCCAGAGACTTGCACAGTTATTTTACTTTCTCAGGTACAAACAAGAAATCCAGTTAAAAGGGATAAGAGAGGAAAAACTGGATTTGGTTTGTCAGATGCCTACTGGCTATAAGTCATAGGTCCAGAACTCACTCTGGTTATAAACGGAAAAAGCTTCTCTGGTCTTCCAGACACTGATGCAGATATGTCTGTTATTACTACTAGTCAATGGCCTTCCATGTGGCCAAAGATTGAAACTATTATACAGCTGCAAGGAATTGGTTAAACTCAGAGTCCTGAGCAGAGCAGCAGTGAACTTTCCCCGGAAAGATGAGGAAGGTCCTGAGGGAACTTTTCATTGTCCCTCACTTGCTGTAAACTCCTGGGGTCAAGATGTTATGAGCCATGTGGGAGTATATTTATATAGCCTGAAAGGACCAAGCAGATGCCATAACGGGCTGCTCAGTCTTCTCTCAGAGATCAGGCCTCAATTTCAGTTTCCTGAGACTTAAACAAGCAGTCTCTGCGAGGGCCATGAACAAACGACATAGTCCTTGCAGTAGCTCCCTTTCTGCATGTACTCCGACTGTTCAAGGTTCAGCCAGTTGTTTACTGTCTGGGACCCCTCACCAACTTAGAGCTACGTGCATGGGTCAATGTGAACATGCTAGGCCAGCCTGCCTCCATGGCAGCTCAAGGACAGAGCCTGGGCCACTGAGTCAGCCCCTACAGTCAGCATGTGCAAGGCCAGCCAGCCCCCATGGCAGCTCAAAGACAAAGCCTGGGACTTGTCCTGGACAGCCCCCCCAAATGAAAATTGTAACCT